GGATGTTTTATTGTTGTATAATTTGGAATCTATCGAAATCGGTGATAATAGTTTTAGATCAGTGAAAACATTCCAAATCGATGGATTGAATCGATTGAAAACTATCAAAATCGGAAACAAGTCATTTACTCACAAAAAGAATTATTATGGGAATAATAAATCGAAATCATTCCACATATTGAATTGTGAATCATTGGAATCGATTCAAATTGGTCGATATAGTTTCAGTGATTTTGCTGGCGACTTTGAATTGAAGAATCTACCACAATTACAATCCATTCAAATTGGGACAATTGGAAGTTATTCAAGCAATTTCTATTGTAGTTCATTTGTGATTCGAGGTAAGAAATGATATGATATTGAATATTTGAATGATGCATAGATCTTCCAAATCTAATATCCATTGTCAATAGTACTGGATATAGTTTCCATTCTCCTCGTTTAGTGATATTGGAGAGTAATTTTCAATATTGAATATTGATAGTATTTAGATATTCCAAATCTTTGAATAGTCTATCTATCCCATTCATTCAGGGAAGTTAATCAAAATCCATTTCATTCCAATCAATGATCATTGTATAGGCAATGTTTTATTGTTGGTTTCAAACCCCTTCCTATCGTTCTTTGGTCATTGATATTGGATCCTATTACTGATTGATTCTTATCCATGATTTTTGTCGCAACCAAGATTGGATCAGTGAGTATGTTCCAATCCTTCGTATACTCTATACGAGAAAAAGAAACAGTAAATGTATGGGAGAAAAAAGTCATACTGAAATGATCGAGTTTGTTCAATAATACTTTAGATATGATATTATATAGCGGTAGCAATTGTAAGGATTGCCTATAATAGTTTGATAGAGTTAACTATACCAATTTTCGATACAATTCTAGAAAACACCTTAGAATCGTACCTCGTATATTGGATTTAATATTTACCAGGATCATAAACTCTACTATACATTTTTGATCCTAATAAAATGGCGTGAAAATAGAGTAAATACATAAAAGCATCGGCACTACTATCACATTACTGCAGTTCAAAATTAGACTTATAGCATTGAATAAATATAGAGGTATTCAGGCAAAATACTGCTGTTCACTTGATGAGACAGAGTACATATATTGATTTTAAACCCTCTTTCATATTCTTATACAATATAATAGAAATGTCAATAATAATAATATAGGTTTCATACTCTAAATACATGATTCACATCAACCACTTCATCCTTTGACTGGTTCGCTGTTCTAACTCAGTGCCTCTGATATTTATCAACCATATAGCCCAGAAAATGACACTCGAATTCTGCATCTTACAGTACTAACCATATCACTGAAAAACACAGTTAGCTCGTTTCAATTCTTCTGTGGTGGTTTTTATTACTCACTCTAAACAATATTGTATAACTGCCTGCCCAATTATCCCAACTAGCCAACTCAAAACTGGTGCGAAAATAGGTGCGCAGCATTGTTGAGAATAAATCAAAGCGATTCTTGCTTTTTTAATTAAAAATTCAAAATCTCTGCCTGTAATGTCTGAAGAATACCTCCAAGAAGAAGATATTGTGTATCGTGTCTTCAATGAGATTCAAGGATACCCAAGGAAGGTAGCTCAGTTTTCAGAGATTTTGGCGGATGTATATTGCCATAATGCCGAAGAGTTTGTTAAACAGTTTTCAAATTGCATGTACACCGTTATTGGACACAAAGGCACTGGAAAGGAAATGGAGAATCTGCTTTCGTTCGTTGCTACAGTAGTGAGTCGTTGTATTGGCAATCAGCAGGTTCCCAATTTGTCTCCTTTGATTATTGAAGTACTTCTAATGTCAATTTGTTTCTTATTTAGGATTTGCTCACATTTACTAAAACAAAGGACCGCTATGTTCGTCAACGTTGTCTGAAAATAGTAAACATGATTTTGGTAAAGTCAAAAGTCCTGGATTTGGATGAGCGCCTTTTGAAAAAGCTGAAACAAGTGTATATTGAAAGAAGCCGAGATAAAATTATTGCAGTTCGCTCTGCTGCAGCCTTAGGACTTTGCTCCCTTCAGAACTCCCAGACTCCCGACACGGAGGTCCTAACCACTCTATCAAAGAATTTCGACTTTGAGCCAACTGCCCAGATCCGTGGCATCTACGCTGAACACATTTTCGTGCATCCGATCACAATGGAGTGCATAGGACATCGCCTTCGCGACGAAGATATATCGGTTCGTCTGAATTTGCTGCAAAACCTTGAGAAACATTCCATCATTCAGCAGTTTTCCATCCAGCTCCGCCAATCGGTGATTCACTGCCTGCAAGATCGGAACGAGGTGATTGTTCAAGCCACCGAGAACATTATTCTGAATAACTGGGCGAAGCACAATTCGCTCTTTGCCTTATTGTCGCTGATCGATGTTGAAAGTGATGAACTTGTTGTATTCTGTGCTTGTTTGTGTTGTTTTGTATAGGGGGAATTGCTTTTGAACAGCGTTTTCCTGCACGAATCGATCGATCGATTGGTCGATTTGAATGGAAGCGACTCTTTGTCTTTGGAGACTTTTTACGTGTACAGTCTGGTTCGGTTTCTATTCGAGCAAAAGCGAGAATCCGAAATCGACCGCATCATTCCGGACATCCCTTCGTTTTGTGAGAAAATCAAGCAGAGTTTGCTTCGATCCAACGCCGACGAATCATCCCAATTCCAAGTATTTCGGAATCACATTCGCTGTCTTCAGTATTTGGACATCTCCGACGATATGTGTCGTTCCCATATTCTCAATTTAATCCGTTTTCTCTTTTCTTTGAGCGCTGAAAATCGAACCGATTTGATTATCAACTTTGAAAACGTTCACATTCTTCTTCAATCGCTGCTCAACGTTTTCGATTCCGATCTTTCCTTTCTCAAGTCCTTCCTTTGATTTCTTTTGACTCGTAGCGAAATCTCTCTTCTTTTGTCAGACTTGGAGGAGGAAATCGAGCACGTTTCGCAAGACCAGCGGATGCTTCTCGCTCTTTACATCATTCAAAGCACTTTCAAACTCATCTCCTCCAACGCGTTTCATCAGCCAGCCCTCAATTCGTTCTTCGAACAGGTCATCAAACCGAATCTCCAGTCCACCGTTTCCACTCTTCGCTGCGAAGCCGTGAAAGGATTGGTTCTTCTCGGCATTATGAATCGCGTTTTTCTTTAATTCTCTCGTTCACCACCCAGGAAATTTCCCTTCAATACGCGTCTCTTCTTCTCTGCATGGTTTTAGAAGAGGACGAGATGCCTGAAGTCCAGTGCGTGGCGATGAATGGACTCACCGACATTCTCATCACGCACGGCGAGTTGCGACTGAGCGAAAGCCAGGAATCGGGACTCGGGATCTCGATCGAGGAGTTCGTGCAGGGTCTCAATCTGTACATTTTCCATTCCAACGAAGCGTTGCAGAACGTGGCGTGCGAATGCTACTGCAAACTCTTCATTTTCGACAAGATCCGGTCCATTCTGTGTCTTTCGAATCTGCTTCTCTTGTTTCTTTTGCCTTTCTTTTTCATTATTTTTAGGCTTTTTGACTCTGCAACGCATCGATTCAAACTTCATCAAATCCTCTCTGTGTTCTTCCCCTCCTTCTGCAGTCCCGAAATCGACCGGAATTGCCTCTTTCTCGAAGAGGCTGTGGTGTTTACGCTCAAGGGCATCGCGGAGGCAGGCATTCCGGATCGCTATTCCATGATCTCCAAGATCGGCCAGTTTTTCATTTTATTGATGACGATGGATTTACGTCAATCCGAAAAACGACATTTTATAGCGAGTAGTGACGAAGAGCCGAATGATGCGTCGAATGGCGAGGAGGCGAAGGGAGGCTCGGAGAAGGAGCGATCAAAAGAGTATCATCGATGTGTGATGGTTTTAGTTGAGAAAATCGTCGAGCTGTGCGATTCAAAATATGGTTTTATTTTTGGAGGAGTTGTGTGATGGGTAGGCGATTCGATCTTCCTGAAGGAGATTGTGTCCGTTGTGTGCTTGATTGAGCCGGAGTATTTGAAGAAGTCGAGTCGGGCGGAGTTGAATTCGTGCTTGGAAAGGTTGATTGAGAAGGTTCCGAATATGACGTTGAAAAGGCAGTTGAAGGCTAAGAACAAAGCGCTATGTATGATAGATCGATCTTTAACGAGGTTCTGGATTGTTTGTTTGAGTAATGGCAAAGGTGGCTCTGTATTTCACTTGATTACCCAGCAGGTGTGATTGTAATAGCTATCAAGAATAGAAGATGACTGACATAGGCTTCATTACAACACTCTTCATTATGGAATCCGCTTTAATCATAACGATCGTATATTCTCTCTTTTACTTCTTTTGCCATAGCAACCTACATAGAACGAATCATTTGAATAAACTGTTGTTCTAACATCCCCATTTTACCGTACTTTTTTTTGTTACTATTGAATGAAGCTTCAATTCAATTCGGATTTCCTATTCCAGAACTCGCTTCTGGCTTGCCTTGCTTGCGCAGAGATCTCGAGTACCCCCCTTGAACTCGAAGCGCAATCGAGCGGTATTCGCTTTGCGAGTCCATATTACGGATAGGCACTGTGGTTCTTAACACTCCCGAAGGTGCTCTGGAAGGTGTTGTGGAGATTTGCAAGTTCCTTGTAAAGGGCACTTCTCTTCTGGATGACTGCACTTACCTCGAGAAGAGCGAGGTTGCGATTTATTCGTCATGCTTATTCCCAGAGTTTTGCCGCGGCTTGCCGAGAGTTGTTCAAACTGTCTGCTGGCGGTTTGAAGGATGTATCCGACTCCTGCTCTGATGAAATCAAGCAGGTCTACGCGAATGTGCATGCCTGTTAAGATTTGGCTTAGCCCTCACGCCTAGTCCTGGACGAGATCTCCGAGCAGCTGAGTGGCGACAAAGCGTTCTTCCACGGTGCGTTCCATTCCCCCTTGCTCACCCTCAGGCGATCATCCCTCTCTGGACGATTTCCTCATCGTCTGCGCGATCTACCCGTCCATCGCCAAGAAGAGCGCCTACCCGTGCCCTCCCTCGCTCAGCAAGCGCTACCTCTCCTTCATGAAATACGTTAAGCGCGTGTAAAACCCCGATCACTTTTTCGCTCACCCCCAGCGCCGCCCTCGCCGTTCTCTCCGGCGACGCCCCCAAAAACGCCCCCACCTTCATCGGCACGAGCATTCTGGTCGCCCAGAAGTCCTGCCCCAAAACGGCCCCCAAACCCGCGGGAGCCGCTACGGCCAAAGCGCCTGCGGCCAAAGCGGACAAGAAGCAGTTCGCCTCTGCGGCCACGGCGGTGGCGACGGAGAAGCGGAAGCGGATCTACGATTCGCGCGAGATTCTTCCGGTAGCGGGAAAGCAGAACATTTTGATCACGTCGGCATTGCCCTACGTGAACAATGTTCCGCACCTGGGCAATCTGATTGGCTGCGTGCTCAGCGCGGACGTCTTCGCGCGGTACTGCCGCGAGCGCGGGCTGAACACGCTGTACGTCTGCGGAACCGACGAGTACGGGACGGCGACCGAGACGCGCGCGCAGGCCGACCACATGACCCCGCGGGAAATCTGCAATAAGTTCCACGCGATCCACCGCGCGGTGTACGACTGGTTCGACATCCACTTCGACTTCTTCGGCCGCACGTCGACCGAGGACCCGCGGAAAGACGTCGACTGGCCGCAGGTGGGTGAACCGCGGGGATGTGAGCGTAGACGCAGATCGCGCAGGGCATCTTCAAGCGGCTGTGCGAGGAGGACCAGCTGGTGGAGCAGGAGATCGAGCAGGTGTACTGCCACCAGTGCGGCCGGTTCCTGGCGGACCGTTTCATCGAGGGCACGTGCCCGATCTGCGGGTACCCGAAGGCGGGCGGCGACCAGTGCGACAAGTGCGGGAATCTGCTGAACGCGACGGAGCTGGTGAACCCGGTGTGCAAAGTGGGCGGTCCGACGCACAAGGTGGAGAACCGCGTGACGAAGCATCTGTTCCTGAATCTGCCGAAGCTGGAGCCGGAGCTGCGCGCGTGGGTGGCGGAGACGTCGGTGGCGAACGACTGGTCGTCGAATGCGATCAATATCACGAACGGGTGGATCGAGAACGGGCTGAAGCCGCGGTGCATCACGCGGGATCTGAAGTGGGGCACGCCGGTGCCGCGGGAGGGCTACGAAGACAAGGTGTTCTACGTGTGGTTCGACGCGCCGATCGGGTACATCAGCATCACGGCGAACTACACGAAGGAGTGGAAGCAGTGGTGGCAGAACCCGAAGGACGTGAAGCTGGTGCAGTTCATGGGGAAGGACAACATTCCGTTCCACACGGTGATCTTCCCCTCCACGCTGATCGGCACGCGCGACCCCTGGACCAAGGTGACGCAGATCAGCTGCACGGAGTATCTCAACTACGAGGACGGAAAGTTCAGCAAGAGCCAGGGAACCGGCGTCTTCGGCGACCAGGCGAAGGACACGAACGTGCCCTCGGAGGTCTGGCGGTTCTATCTGCTGTCGAACCGCCCGGAGCAGAGCGACTCGGCGTTCTACTGGGAGGATTTGGCGGAGAAGAACAACAACGAGCTGCTCAAGAACCTCGGGAACTTCGTCCATCGCTGCCTGTCCTTCGTGTACAACCGCATGGACGCGACGGTCCCGCCGTGCGGCGCGAAGACGGAGCGCGAGCAGAAGCTGATCGAGGCGGTGAACGAGACCTTGCAGAAGTAGGCGAGAGGACGACGGGGATGACGCGCGTAGATACAACGAGGCCATGATGGGCACGCATTTGAAGGCCGGATTGAAGTGGGCCATGGAGATCTCGCGGCTAGGAAACCAGTATCTGCAGGACGCCGAGCCGTGGACGGTGCTGAAGAGCGATCCCGAGCAATGCGGAACCATCTGCTATGTGGCGGTCAATCTCGTGTATCTGATCAGCAATGTGTTCGAGCCGTTCATGCCTGGATTCTCTGATAAGGTTTGCTACCAGCTGAACTTCGACCACGGAAAGATTCCGGATGTGTTTGAGGAGGTGATTCCGGCGGGACACAAGATCAACAAGATCCTGCCCATCTTTAAGAAGATCGAGCCGGAGGAGATTAAGGCGTACCGCGAGAAGTTTGGAGGAAAGAGCAACTAGAGCGAGCGAGTGAGCTAGCTAGCGGGTAAACCGAGTTTCTATTTGTTGTGTTTGTTTTATCAAGACTGTTTCGAGGGTCGGGGTTGGAAGCAATTCGGAAATGGGGGAGATCGCACATTTGGCCGATTTGCGAAATTATAAATAAACTACTTTTACTCTCATTCCATGTCCATCCAAATGGAATAAATGAATACTGCCAATTGTCAACCTTCCCTCAAATCGCCATCTTCGTCCACCCGATGCATCCAACCCATTCTCAGTGTTCGTTCCGCTCATAGATGCTATTATCACTAGCAATTGCTTCGGAATAGAGTCCGCTGCAAGAGAATCTCACGCACCAAAATGATTGGTGCACAAGTTTGAGAAGAATCTTGCCCTGAATCTTCACTTGTTTTGCGTGATGTTACTCATTATATTCTTATCAAATACTAAATAGAGAAGACTCAAATGATTACCTATACATGGATTCCTTGGTTTACTGGAGTAGTTGCTTTTGTCATGGCTTATGGTATCGGCGCCAACGATGTCGCCAATGCCTTTGCTACGTCGGTCGGTGCTAAGGCTATTACTTTAAAACAAGCCTTGCTGATCGCTGCTTTTATGGAGTTCTTTGGAGCTACGCTCATGGGTTCTCACGTCACAGATACTATCGCCAAGGGAATTATTGATGCTGAGCTCTTTACGGAGGAGCCCGAGATTCTGATGGTTGCCGAGATGTGTGCGTTGATGTCGGCCTCTGTCTGGCTTCTTCTCGCCACGATTTGGGGACTTCCTGTGTCGACCACTCACTCTATTATTGGTGCTCTGGTCGGTCTT